AGCCAGGCCTCCCCCTCTTCCCCCCTCCCCCCAGCCCCTTCAGCCAGGCCTCCCCCCTGCTCTCCCCCCACAGTTGAGGGGTCTCTCCCTGGCCCTCGGCTGCGTCCCTCCCACAGGGGGGCTCCCTCCGTCCTTGGTGGGACTCACCCCCCCCCACTGCACACAGCGTTGGCCTCCCAGGATCATAGAGACCAGCCTAGAGCCTCACACAGACCTCCACAGCCAGAGCTACGGGTAGAGCATCACCCCCCTGCAGCCCTGTCTGGCTGGGCTGGCTGAGTCCTCCAGGTCCTAGAGATCAGGGGGGTCGGGGCTAGAGGAGCCGCACAGTAACACCGACCCTGAAGAACGGGCGGATTCTCTCCCCGGCGAAAGAGGCCGGCGGGAAAGTGAATATCGGGTCCCCGGTACCAGCATCGAAAAACGCCACCTGCCCCCGTTCATAGTCCAGATACACCCGGATCCTGCGGGGTGCCCAGCTCGGGGGGAAGGGGATGCGCTGCCGAGGGGACGTGAGAGCCCAGTACTGATCCCCCCAGCACTGCACAGCCCAGATCCCCTGCTCAGGGTTAAGGCTGATCCCTCCCTTCCTCCTCACAGACTCTTTGGCCACCCCCACAGCCCAGGATCCCCCCAACTCCACCTCCACCTCCCAGTAATGACGGCCCGAGGTGAATCCCTCACAGCCCAGCACACAGAGCTCAGTGTCAAATCTCTCAGGTTTTTTGGGCAGATTCTGCCATGTGCCCCATCTCACACTTCTCCGATCCGCAGACAGGATGAGTCGGGGATTGGCCGTGTCTGGATCCAGAGTCACGTTCGCTGCAGAGAGAGAATCAGAGCGTGAGGGGCAGAGCTCAGCCCTGGGGCAGGGTCTGATCGTGTCAGTGACAGAACCTGCCCCAGCTGGGGAGTGAACCAGGCAACCTCCTGCCTCCAGGATTTACCCAGCTCTGCCTGGGGAGCAGCGCTGAGATCTCAGCCATGGGCAGGGGGGATTCACACCCCGACAGAGCCAGTTCAGGGACAGAGTGAAAGGATCAGCTCCGCTGAGCCAGGCCCCAAGACCCAGCGTCTGAGTCTCAGTGATTCCATCCTTGTGCTTGGGGGAAAGACAAGGGGGGTTAGAGGGAGGTGGGTTTAAGCCACCTGTGTCCTTCCTTTAGTCTCCCTGGCCCCTCGTTACAGGGGCCTCAGGGCTGCAAAGCAGAGAGCAGCCAGAGTGTGATGCCTCCTGTCTATGCCCCCAGCAGAGCCGTCCCTTGGGGAGAGCAAATCGGGGCAACCGCTCCGGGCCCTGCGCTTTGGGGGGCCCCGCGGGCAGGTGCGATTGGCTGTCGCTGTCGCTCCCAGAAGAGACAAATCCGTCACTTCCACCACGGTCCCCACACCCCGCTAGGGACAGCCCTGGCCCCCAGCATGGCCCCCAACCCACTCCTACAATAACGGCTGGGAGCAGAGTTGCTGTGGAGCCCCTGTGCCAACTTCACACGGATGGGGGTGTCTCCCTTGCACC